TCGGGCGCGGCCTGGGCACCCGGCCCCAGCCCCCCGCCGCCCTTAACTCCCAGCCCGCCTGCCTGTCTTACCCGGAGTGCGGCCACGGCGGACGGGAACCCGTGCACCACGAGCACCATCTCCCTGCGAGGACGGCGGGCGCAGCGTGTGAGCCCCACGGCGCCCGCCCGCGGCTCCCCGCACCTCCCCAGGCCGAGTCCTCGCTGCCTTCAGGCAGATCCTTGTCCTCGCACTTGCCACCTCAGGCCCCGCCTGGGGTCACAGGGTCCTCGCAGTCCTCAGAGCCGCTCCCTTCCATGTTCTAGCTCAGCCCCAGGCTGACCCTAAGCCCCAACTCGCTGGACCTGAGTCTTGATCCTCAGATCCCCACCAGCAGACGCCCACACAACAGCAGCACAGCGCTCCTCCCCCTTCGTGCCCCACCCACACGACTGGCCCCGCCCACACGACTGGCCCCGCCCATACGACGCCCACACAACAGCAGCACAGCGCTCCTCCCCCTTCGTGCCCCACCCACACGACTGGCCCCGCCCCCAGCCTTTAGCCCCGCCCCCAGCCAGGGTCTGGTACCGCCCCTAACACCTGGATCCGCCTTCTCTCCATAGCGTCCCGCCCTCCTGGTAGACCTCGCCCAGTCGCTGGCTCCGCCCACTGTCGCAGGCCTGGCCCGGATAATAACCCAAACCCAGAGGACCCGCCTCATCCTTACCGCGCCCCGCCCTGGTAGCCCGTCCCGCCCCCTCACTGGCACCGCCCCCTGCCACAAGCCTGGCCCTTCCCCGATAGTCAGGTCCTGCGTCCTGCCTGCAGACTCCCCAGCCACGGAGCGCCTTCCCCGTCTTACCAGGGTCCTCTCCCGCTCGTCCGCCAGGCCCCGCCTTTTTTGCGACCTCCGTTGTGCTGCTGCACCCGACGAGCAGGGTTGACGGTGAACCCCACGTACACGCGCCCCCGATGCCGAGGGTTCAGGCAATAGAGCAGGTAGACGCCGAAGAACCGCCCCGGCCTCGCCGCGCACCCCGCGGGGCCCATCCAGACTTTATAGGTTACGGGCCCAGAGCTGGAATTGATCTCCGTGAACTCGGATCCCAGGAATGACTAAGTTGCTAGGGCAGCAAGATGCTTGTTTCGGGAAAATTGATCGCGGGGGGCAGTCTACAAAACCTCAATAACGCCAAGTTCGTACATTCTCACCCGGAGGGAGGCAGGTCCCAAACCTGGCCGCCAAACCCCTGCCACATGCAGACTATGAGCCCCAACCAATTAGGATACGCTCTCTCAGAGTCCGTCCTCCCGCTGACTCTGATTGGCTAATACTGCTAAACCGGCTTTTGAGAGAACTTGTACTGGAATGAGGGCGGAAGTGCAGCATCTCGGACACCCTCGTAAGGGCGGAAGTAAATGCCCTAGCGGAAGTGGTCTGGTGGAAAGTCTCGTGGCTGTTCTGGAGTTTGTCTTCACTGCGCTGCTGTTCCCTCTGGGCTGGTGTGCTGAAACTCAGTTTGTCCTAAAACGACTCTCAAAAATATGCAGGGCGTGTGGCGCGCAACTATATTCCTAACATTTGGGAGGCTAAGGAAGGATCGCTGCAAGTTTGAGGCCAGCATGGGTTACATAGTGAGTTCCAGGGCAACCTGAACTACATAGCGAAACCCTGTCTCAAAAAGCAAAAACAAAAAGTAGTGTGGTGAAGAACAGATAAAGATTTGGAAGATCTGCCTTGGAGCTGACAGATTTAGGGCTTTATGAAAAAGCAAAGACGGGCTGGGGGCTTGCACAGATAGATGGGGGTTTGCAGAGCTGAAAGAGGAAACCCTGGTCAAGTCGTGTACTTAGTGATCAGTATATCAGGACCGGCTCTGGGAGGTTCGGAGACAGCCATCATCACATAGTGAAACGGTGACTCTCCCTTGAGGTAGGCAGCTGAGTTCCTAACGTGGTGATTCATGGGGTGATCTGAAATGCTCTGTTTTTCTTTGGCTTAGGACAGTGACTGAAGACTCCTAGGCATTGCTCCGAGGAGTCTGGGACTGAGCCTTGTAAATCTGGCAATTGGACGTCCCTGCAAATCCTAAAAGGAGTCCTCTTCTCCTTGTCCTCCTTCTCCCTCCTTCTTCATTCTTTCTTTGTCTTCTTCATCATTGTTGTGGTCATCATCTCTGTCTCCTTTTCCTTTTTTTTTTTTTTTTTTTTTTGAGACAGTCTCAGTTGCTAAGTTTCTGAGGTTGGGCTCAAATCTGTGGTCCTCCTGCCCCAGCTTCCCCAAGTGTTTGGATTACAGGCTTCTGCTACTATCAGGCAGTACAGCAGTTTGCTCTTATGTCGGAGTTCTTAGTCTTAAAGGAAGATAGGATAGGTAAGTTTAGGGCTAATAAAGTTTATATTACAGGGACTCCTTAAATGGTTGACATACCTTTGTATAGAGCTGAGCAGGGATCTGACCCAAAATTTGAAGGTAATGAGGAAGACATACAAATGAAGGCAGAGATGCCAGGTTTCATCCTGCTGTTACCCAATGGGCATCTACAAGCTCAATGTCTAGATCCCTGTTACAAATGAATAAAGGTGTACAGCATTATAGCAGTGAGGCAGGAGATTAGAGTGTGGCAGCTGGCTAGGCAAGTGAGTGTAATCTGTCAATCACGGAGATCCAGGCGGGGATTGCACCTCTGGAACCAATCAGAAAGTGATATCTTCAAATCTTCTAGAGAACTCAAGCAGGTTTTTGATAGGATGGCCTACACCGACCCTCAGCCTGAGGAGTGGGAGATACCAGAGATGGTCACCAGGAGGCTCCTGGCCACTGTGTTCTCTCCTTCACAGTGATCCACTCATACCAGAGCGTATTTCTTTTCCTACCTTTAATAAATGTAAAACCTCACTATATTTTGCACTTGGTTTTCTGTTTTGTTTTGTTTTTTGAGATAAGGTCTCACCGTGTAGTTCAGGCTGGCCTTAAACTCACTGGATAACGCAGGCTGGCCTTGAACGTGCTGCAATCCTCCTGCCTGAGCTTCTTGAGTGCTGGGATTATTGGGGTACACCACCACACCTGGCTTCGTTACCGTTTTAAATCACCACTGGATATTTTTTTACTATGCTAATGAAGTAAGGTAAAAAGAGGTTATCTTAGGGACTATTCTGCACATGTGTTTGTCCATGTCGCTTAGAATTACCCCTTATTAGAAAATTTCCTAATTTCCCCTGGAACAGGACCCTCTGTAGCCCTCAGCTGCCAGCGGAGGGGGAGGCTGCAGCCCGCCATCTTCTCGGCACAGTGGGCATCAAAGCGCTCGCTCTGGGCCGCCGTGAAGGTGCTTTTCCAGTTCCCCACGATGCCTGGGACAGAAGGAAAGAGGCTTGAGTCCAGGCCACACAGGAGGCCCTGGTGGCTCTTCCTCCCTCCGCTCCCCACGCCCCCCTTGGCCAGGCACCCACCTTTCCTCATGAAGGGGGAGACTGCGTGGTCCATGACCTCAGGGAGGAGGGTGGTGTAGTTGGTCATGGGGTTCTTCTTCATCTCCTTGAAGGATGTGCGCTGGACGATGAGCTCTTTGGTCTCCTCAGGCAGGGAGCGCCCCACGAACTCCAGGATCTTCTGAAGCTCCCTTTTGGGGTCCTGGAGAAGGCTTACAGTTCTGGGTATACCATCTTCAGTGGGGTTTGGGCTGTTCATAGGGCCAGCAGAAGAGTGTCCCTGTGTGACTTCACAGTGGGGCTGTCACTCCTCAGCCCAGCTTGTTGACTCTGGGCCTTCACCCTAGGGCAAAGCTAGCAGCTGCTTCCCGTGGTCCTGGCCTATGATCTGCATGACACAATTGAGCTAGTACCTAATGTTTTGCGGGGGGTGCTTCAGCTCTGATGTGTAATCTTTCAATCCCCAGGAAGTCATAGCCTCTATCCCGAGCCTCGATCCCAACCAACAGTGTAGAGCACTGGCCCTTCATCCTGCCTCCTCCCTGCTCACACAGGGAACAATGGGGTTCCGGGGAAACACTGCCTGTCATCTTTGCTTCAAAGACTACACATCAGCACCTCAGCTGGACCGACATGTAGTGCTCAAAGCCAGTGGAAGGGATAAGGAAAAGTCCCAGCCAGCTCTGTACACATCAACACATGGACATAGGGCCAGGCTCAGGCAAAAGGGAGACAACTGCTCCTCCTTCAAGGAGTCACCCAAGTGGTCCTCCACAGGAAGGAGGGTTTGAAATAGGGTTCTGTCAGGGATATACCTCAGCAGCACATTGTCTGTCTGGCAAGCACAAGGTCCTGAGTTTGATCTCAAAAAACCCAGGGTCTTACTATGTAGCTCAGGCTAGCTTTGAACCCACTAGGTAGCCCAGATTGGCCTCAACTCACAGCAATCCTCCTGCCTCAGCCTCCTGAGGGCTGAGATTACAGGTGTGTGCCGCCACACCCAGCTGTCTCCGTGAATCTTGAAATTAATTTTAGTGACTCTTATTTTGATTTACACTATCTAGAAGGGGGATAATTTTGGCCAGGACAGAGTAGGACTAAGCAACTTTTTGCTGGCTTTTCTTAAGTGGTTAACAAAGCTATACCCAAAGTTTTAAGGTAAAGGATACAAAATGAAAGTTAAGCTGTGTTCTGCTTAGGTACTTACTTGGCATTTGTAGGCTCAAGTGAAGAGCCATGAGTTTTAGTAAAATATTGTTACTGATTAGATCCAAAATCTCACGTGTGTGGAAGGTGATTGGATCATTGGAGTATTGTACTCATGGGTGTATTCACCCATGAGTTCAGTAGCTCATGTGGTTTTTATTGTTTGTTTTGTCTTTTTGACACAGGGTCTCACTATGCAGTTCAGGCTGGCCTTGAGCTCACTATGTAGCCCAGGCTGTGCTTGAACTCAAAGTGATCCCCCTGCCTCAGCCTCCTGAGTGCTGGAATTACAGGTGTGCATCCACCATGCCTGGCCAAGATCGTGTGCTTTTAGGAAGTGTCTTAGTCACGTTGTCCCACTGTCACACCATACCTGGAACCCACAATTTAAAGGAGACGTTTATCTTGGCTGTGTTTTTTCATTCAAAATTGACTGACTCCATGCAGGAAGGCATGATGAAAGGGCCAGCGTGGAGGAAACCTGCTCACAGAATGGCAGCAGGGGAGCAGGGAGCAAAGGGAGGAGCCAGGAAAAGAGACAGATCCTTTAGGTCCCACCTCTGGTGACCCACCTCTTCCCTCCAGACTCCACCTCCTAACAGCAAATCAGCTATAACAGCCTCACACTCCAAATACACCAGGCTTTGGGTGCCATATTTGATCTAAACGTTAACAGGCCGTGTTGCCTGGGAGCATGACCAGCTATCGAAAGTCAGGTTAAATAACCCTAAGTTATTGTAGGCTGATTGGGCCCACAATCTCCCAAGTGAGTGGACGGTGAAGGCTTAAATAAGTGAGACAATGGAAATGACTTCAGGGCTCCAGGAGGGACTAACTCTCTTACAGCTTCAGTACTCTCTGAGTTAGCCAAAGACTTCGCTGGGCAGCCCGTATTTATTTGGTTTTCAAACAAAGGAGGAGGATACTCAAGAAAACGCAGGAATCTCGCAGGACTTTGGGAGAATTTTCCCAAGCAGTAAATCATGTCAATCAGGAGAACTGCCTTATCTTTAGGTTGGTATTTATTGTAGGAGTGTGGAGCCTGCAGCTGCAGTCTCCTGGTAGTTAACTGGGGTTGGAGCCAAACGTCCTCAGCTGCCACCTCATCTTGTCAGACAAGGTGCCTAAGCTTCAGACAACTCACAAGTAAACACGGAAAGCCAATTGGTTAAAATTAAATCCTGCTCAGAGCCACTTTGTAGTGGTCCCCAACAACCAGCAATAGTGTATTCTTGTCTTCCCGTCTCTCTCTGCTTCCTGGCTGCCACGGGTGACCCAGTGTCTCCTGCCATGCCTGTCTGCCTTGTCATTTCTGTCTTGGAAGCTCCAACCATTGACTGAACCCTCTGAAAACCCTAAGCTAAAATAACCATCTCCTCTTTTAAGAGTTGTGGCTATTGTGCATTCTGCCCCCATGTAATAGTTAACCATTGTGCCAATTTTCAGTACAAAGCACAGTTTCTGATTGATTTAACACCGTTCTGGGTGTGATTAAATGATGAACTTATCGAAGAGGGAAAACCCACCTTAGATGTGAGTGGTACCAACCAATAGGCTTGTAGCCTGAATGGAATACAAGGGAAAGAAAAAGGAAGTCTTGCTTCTGTGGAGAAGCTCTAGTCTGCCTTCACCTTGGGATGTCCATCTCCAAGCTTCCAGTACAGACTCTTCAGCCTTCTAACATAGATCCTCCACCTTCCCAAAACAAACACCAACAACTCTGCCCTGAGCTCCAGGTCTTTCACCTTGACCGGATTTTTAACTCTCCTGCACACAGATGGCGTTCGCACTCCTCCACAGCTGGCTCTGCGGGCAGCCAAGGATTTACCTTGTGAATCCTACTGAATCTGTTACTCTACTGAATACTAACTGATAGACCCCAAGACAAGAAGTGACTAATATAAAACCACGTTTATGTCATTGATTGTCTCAGAAGAGATTGATGGTTTTTACGAGTAACAATTTAAGGGCTCTGGAATTTCTTTGCCCTTTTTCCCTAGGGTGGTTTCTGATTATGTAATGATTGTCACTCCTGCCCACATTTCCTCTATTCAGGCCTCTCCACAAATACCAAAGTCACCTTTAACTGAGATTTTTATTGTACTCAAGTAAACTGCCATGTCCAGCACAGCTCTCAAGGTTACCAGGGGAAAGGACAGCAAGAGGATGGAAAAATAAAGACAGAAGCAATATACAGAAAGCTGAGGTTAGGTAGAGCCCTCTCTCCAGATGGGAGAAAAGGAACTACTCAGCTACCACAGTGTGTTTATTTATACATTTAGCAAGTTGATGTCAGGTGAAACCCCTTTGCCTAACAACTAGCTCACCTCTCACATCCTGCATTCTCAAGGCTGGAACACCTGTTCACCTGAGGCACTCCATGCCCTTGGGGAACTCCTCAGGGAGTTCCTCAGGTGCTCTGTGCTTGCTCTGCACATGTGAATGATCACTATCGAAGCCTCCTGACATCACCCCCTTTTCTGTTTTTGTAGTTGCAATCAGTGGGTGTTCAGTTGAAGTTGGAGGAGCTGTGTTTGGAGGACTCTGTGGACAATTTTCTTTCTTGTGGTTATACTTTTCTGCTGGATGTTTAAGACTAAGTTAAAGTGAGACCTATATTAATTAATTGCTATTGTAGTGAATTCATAACTGGTGGTAAATTTATAACCTCCAGCTGACCTGAATAAGCATGGTTCTGGGTGTGGGAGGCCCACCTGGGGATTGTTGCCAGCATCATAAGAGGCAGAACTGGATAAGGAGGAGTGAGGCTGTTGGAGCTGGTGGAAGCTGTAAGGAGCTGTTGGTTCTGTTGGAGGAGTTCATCATGCTGGCTTTCCTGATGAACTCGGGTGATATCCTCTGAGGAGCTCAGGACCTCGTTGACATTGAGAATGGCTTTGGTTCACTTTGGGGGAGCTCTGGTCCTCACTCTGAGCATCATTTCCTGGCTCCAGAGAAGATGGTGCACTGCCAGTCTCCTGGAGAAGCTTGCTGTGTTGGCTTCCCTGATGGGAAGTCAGCTATCTTGATCATCGGAGGAGCTCAGGACCTCACTGTTGCTGAAGATGGCTGTGGTACCTTTCAGGGGAGCTCTGGTTCTTCTGAGTGTTGCTTCCTGGCTCCAGTGCAGACCCCTCAGCCTGCTAGCACAGATCCTTCATCCTGCTGGCACAGACTTCCTAGATTCCACCACTGACCCTTGGGCCTTCCCAACACAGATCTGTGAAACAGGCCTGCATGAGATGTTGCTGTGGGCTCTGGGCCTTGAGCTGGATTTGTGGAAGGCACTGTTAAGAGCTCCAGGTCTTCAGCTGTACTCATGCAGGATATTTCTGTGGGATCCAGGCCCTCAGCTGGATTCCTTGGTCTTAGAGTATGGACAGATTTCCTGCACTCTTTTGTATATTGTTCTTTGGGTGACTATTATAAATAATCATGTAAAATGTTTTCTGTATTATATTGTGTTCCCTTGCAGAAGCCCCAAACCATAACAGCTATCTATCAAGGTCAGTTAAATCTCCTCAGGAATTACCTTGAAACCGTGCACAACACCTCTTAATACTTTTGTCAGTGTCAACCATCTGGATGAGTCATGGCCATTGCTTGACCAAGTTGCTTTCTGTGAAAGCTTAGGAGATTTTTCTCTCCTGGTGATTCTCCTTAGGCACACTATACACCACTGATCATTGTCCTCAGGGGTCCCACAATCTCCTTGGTCAGAAGACCAGGGACTCACTGAGTTATGGGATGTTGCCACAGAGGTTCTCTTATATCTTGGGTCTTCACTGACCTCTGAGAGCTAGGGCCAAAATATTAGCTGTCCTCATAGCCTGTCTTTCTAGTTTTTGGTCCCCAAACCTCAGTTGTTGAACATCCAGAAGAGAAGGTTAACAATATTACATTGTATTGGGAAAAGTGAGCTTAATGTTATACAAAATAGAACCATTATTTTCTACCAACCATGCATAGCCTAGTATTTGAATCTCTATAGAATGTTAATAGGTAAAGCCAGGCATGGTGGCATACACCTGTAATCCCAGCACTTGGGAGGCTAAGGCAGGAGGATTGCTGCAAGTCTGAGATCATCCTGGGCTACAAAGTGAACTCAAGGCTAGCTTGAACTACATAGAAGACCCTGTCTCAAAAAGACGAAAAAAAAATATTTTGTGACATACTTTAATTTCTGTTTTGATGTAGCATAATCCTTGTAATCAATCATCTCTATCTAATACATAAGAAACTTTTACCTAATTTGTTGTCCTTTAATGCGATGTATATCACATAAGTTTTTGTTAAGGCAGATGTCTGAATTTGAAAGAAAAGTCTACCATTATAAACAATCCTTGTTCCACACTTGGGTAGATCCACACATCTACAGGCATGAATTTCTTTTTTTTTTTTTTTTTTGGTTTTTCTCCGGCACTAGGAACCGAACTCACGACCTTGCGCTTGCCAGGCAGGCGCTTTGCCACTGAGCTAAATCCCCAGCCCCTACAGGCATGAATTTCAATACACTACAAAAACAATAACAATCATCATAGCCATATGAAAACCTTTGTGTGAGAGCATATTTAAATCAAAAACCTTATTGTCTAGAAAACAATCTTTTGACAAATGAGCAATGTAAACATATCACAATAACATATTTTGATAACATTTATTGGGGTGTCTCCCGTAAGGCTATGGAGATCACTGGGCTTCCTATTAATGAACAAAGGCTGGGATAATTTTTCCCAGGCAGCTGCTCCTCTGTTGACCAAAGGAAACCTTGACCAATAATTCTCCAAGCCTGAAAGGTCCTCTTAGCTACATTAACAAATTTCTGATGACCTCTGAGAAAGCCAGTTTTGATACCAAATTGACCAGCTGGCAACCCAGGTGGAAGCATGCTTTTAAATCTATAATCCACATTAAATTTCGAACAAATGATCCAAAAATGCAAAAGAAAAAGAAGAACATAGAAAAAAATTGTTGAGCTCAAATAGAAAACAGCTGTTTACAGCATGGACAAACACACATACACAGACAATCCACCTACAACACCAGAGTGCACTCAGATATATTTTTAGCCAAATTAAAGTATAATAACCTTTCACAGTTTTAGAAGTTTGTAATTATAAATAGACTAGCTAGACTTTTTGTAGGTCAGTTAGCAGAGTTCTCTTACAAGCCTCTCACATCCTGTGTGCTCGAGGCTGGAACACCTGTTTGCCTGGGGTCCTTCCTGCCCTCACAGTGTTCCTCAGGTGCTCCATGTTCAGCTCTGCTGTAAATGATCAGTGTAAATCATGTGTAAATGATCAGTAGGTCAGCTGCTCCCAACAGTAAACACTTCCCAGAACCCAGGTGCCAGGAGGACAAAAAAGGAGCAATGGCCAATTGGAGATGTTTAAGATCAGGTCTCCAGCAGCACTGTCCAGCATCCCTGTGGAGACAAGAGAGTTGATCAAAGACAGCTATCTTAGATACTTTTCTCACTGCTGAGACAAAATACCTGACACCCAAAGGTAAACGAAGAAAGGTTTCTTTAGGCTCACAGTTTGTAGAAGTTGCAGTCCATAATGCCGGGCATGGTGGTACACGCCTGTAGTCCCAGCACTTGGGAGGCTGAGGCAGGAGCATCGTTGCAAGTTCGAGACCAGCCTGGGCTACAAAGTGAGCTCAAGTCCACCCTGAAATGCATAGCAACACCCTATCTCAAAAAGGCAAAAAAAAAAAAAAAAAAAAGTTGCAGTCCATAATCAGCTGGCTCCAGGGCAGGGTGGCACAGCCATCACAGAGGAGAAATAGCCCATGGCAAGCAGCAAGCAACAACTGACAAGCAGGGGCCTCTTTCTGTCCTTTATATCTTAACCAGCTACATGTCCTTAGGTGGGTAGCACTCACACCCAGGGTGGGGCAAATCAATCAGTAGATAATTTAGTAACCACACACCCTTGGTCCCAGCATCACATACTCTAGATCCAGCCGCCCTTGAAAAGCCCCACCTATGAGACTTTGGGGAGACACCTAGACACAAGCCAGCCTAGAGATGGAGTGACAAGGGAAGTGGGACTAGGGCATTCTCACCTCTTCTAAATCCAAGTTCTCATCTTCCTCCTGAGGACCCACACAGCACAGTCAAACAGGTCTCCCCGCATCCAAGAGTTTTTACAGTGAATAAGGGTGCAGTTGGATGAGATGACACAGAGTCAGGCATCACAAGCTGCTTCCAGCCTGGGCTCCGGGTGCCAAGATGAGGACTCGGCTGGCCTGGCCTGGCTTGGCCCAGAATTTGGGAGAGACACACTGACCCTCTAGGGGCACAAGCTGCCCTGGCTCCGCCTGGAGGAACGCCTCTGCCGGGCAGATCACATGGGCCTACAGGGGACAGCCGGGATGGGGACAGTGCAGAGGGCCCGCTACATCCTGTCAAAGGTGGCAGGCAGAGAAGGGGTGCAGGGAGTCACTCACATTTACAGGAGCACAAGAACTCCCTCCAGGACTTAGGGTGAAGGGTGGGGAGACTGATGCAAATTTAAGCTGTGTTAGGCAGAGTTCAGAGGAGAAGGGTGGGGACATGCACAGGAAAGACTCAATCTCAGATGGAGAACCAGGAAAGACCTTGCAAGAAGGCAGTGTCGTTCTCTCCCAGGATCTACTCAGGAGCCTTCCGGTTTGTCACCACCCTCCCTGCCCCCAGCGAGTGGGGTTGACAGTCGACACCACGTACACGAGGCTCCAATGCTGAGGTTCTGGCAATATTATTATTATTTTTTGTTTTGCTTTGTTTTTTTCCGGTACCAGGAATTGAACTCACGACCTTGCGCTTGCCAGGCAGGCGCTGTGCCCCTGAGCTGAATCCTCAGCCCCTGGCAATATTACTGTAGACAGCTAAGTTAGATAGAAATGACGAGGCTGTCAGGGAGGGATCTGGCCCTTGAGGGAATGTGCGGAAGAGCGGATGCACCAAGACTGGAGCAGCAGGCAAATCTGAGGAGAGCCAGGCCTCAGGATGGAGAGGCGACAGCCAGGCGTGCAAGCCTCGCTGGAGATAAACAGCATCTTGAAATTATACTAGAATTAGCACCACCTGGTCCAGTGAGCCCACCTAGGCTTCAGACAGTGAGTGACTGAAATGTCTAGGTCCATGCTCCAATCCCTTTCCAGGAAGGCCTAACGATGCTCACTATGTACCCTTGCTATGCGCCTCGTTTCCCTGTTAGATCAGTATTAGCTAAATGTAAACCGTGCACAGTGGTGCACACCTGTAATCCCCGCACTCGGGAGGCTGAGGCAGGAGGATGGTTGCAAGTTCGAGACCAGCCTGGACTACAAAGCGAGCTCAAGACCAGCCTGAATTGCATAGCGAGACCCTGTCTCAAAAATACACACACAAAAACTAAAAATAAATTAACTAAGTTTATAATCCTATAGACTGTTGTTTAACCCACGTTGTATTCGTGCTGTGAGTTTCCTATATATAGTATCCTTGGACAAATCGCCTCAGCACTCAACGGCCACCCACTTGGGACCCCCTGGGAATCCAGGAGCGCTTTTTTTTTTTTTTTTTTTTGAGACAAGGTCTCGCTATGTAGTTCAGGCTGGCCTTGAGCCCACTTTGTAGCCCAGGCTGGTCTCTAACTTGCAATGACCCTCATGCCTCAGCCTCCCAAGTGCTAGGATACATGAGTGCGCCACCACGTCCGGCCAGGAGCTATTGTTTCGTTTGGTTTTAATTAAGTTCATCGGTACATTTTATGTATATATAATGATCACAGTCATCATAGGGAATTTGTTCCTGTATATGTTATAACCTGATTCTTCCCCACCCCCATTCCTCTACTCTTGCTTCCCGACTTCATTCCTTAATGTTTCGAGACCATGAGCTGGGTATAGAGGGCAACAGCAGAGCAGGTAGACGCTGAAGAAGCCAGTCGGCCTCACCATGCCCTCCGAGGGGCCCATCCCGACTTTACTGGTTCTGGCCCGGAGCTGGAGGTTGATTTCTGTGACAGACGGCGGGGATGACTGGATTGGTAGGGCAGCAAAACGCTCCTTTAGGGAAAAGCGCTCGTAGGCGATCGCCAGGCAGCTTGAAGGCTTCAGAAACGCAGGTTTCGGGCACCCTCTCCTGGACGAACGCAGTGGCAAACCCAGACACAGAACCCAGCCGGACCTCCAACCAATCAGCGTCCGCTCCGCAGAGTCCTCCCTCCCTCCAACTCTGATTAGCTAACACTGCGTAACACAGAAACCCTTGACTTCGGGAAAACCTTACTCGTGTGAGGGCGGAAGTGCGTGGCAGAGGCCTCAGAAAGGGCGGAAGGAGGTACTCTAGCGGAAGTGGCTCGGGTAAGGAAGGAAAGTAGCGTGCCGGCCCCGAGGTGGGTTCTGTCCCGCCGTGCTGCTGCACATTGGGTTACTGCCATGGAACTCAGCGCATGTTCCCTGCGGGATAAGCTGCGGCGGGACCTGGAGGCGGACCACGTGGTGAGTTGAGCCCTCGGAGTTCACCCGACCAGGGAAAAGGGGTCCTGTGAGCGGGCTCGGCATGGTCTCCATTCTTCTGCCCCGTAGGAGGTGGAGGACACGACTCTGAACCGTTGTGCGACGAGCTTCCGAGTCCTCGTGGTGTCGACTAAATTCGAGGGGAAGTCACTGCTGCAGAGACATCGGTGAGCCCCCGAAGCATCCATGATCACGCCCCGGCCACTCCCCTGCCTCCTGCACCCCAGCCCCCTCACCCCGGCCAGGGGGCCCAGGGCCCCAGTCTCCTAACCGTCTCCGCGCGCTCCCACCTCTTGGAGACGGACTGTCGCCTGGGAGACCCCTGCAGTGTCCTGGGTCACTCTGCGTCGCAGGCTTCGGTGTGCCATTTCCGAACCCCGTCTCTTGCCTCAGGCTGGTGAACGAGTGCCTGGCAGAAGAGCTCCCGCACATCCACGCCTTTGAGCAGAAAACCCTGACCCCAGAACAGTGGACCCGTGAGCGTCAGAAATGAGGGATGGAGGCCTGCACAGCCATTAAATTAAGTATTAGGGCCAGCCTTTGTGTCTGTGTTGTGTGTGGAGGGCGTCGCCCTGAGGTTGACTGTAGGGCTTGGTGTCTCCCTGTTTAGTCTCTGCCTTTTGGTTTACCTTGAACAGGTTTCTTCCTCTCGCCCCCGGTCTGGGCCACGTGTCCACGCTTGTACAATGAAAGTTCTGTCCTGAAGTCCTTCCCGGGGCTTGCCTATTAAACCTCTCTGTAGACCCTTGAGGGTCTGTACTTTCATTACCCAGCCAGTCCCCAGAGAGCCGGGGCTTCCTGCTCTCTGCCAGCCTTCAAGATGCAGAGGTGAAGCAAGGTGAGGTAGTGCGCACCTGCAATCCCAGCACTCCAGAGGCTGAGGTGGGGGGATTGGGAGTTCAAGACCACCTTGGGCTGCATAGAGGTGCAAGTCTGAGACCACCCTGGACCACACAGGATGACGTTGTCTAAAAAAAAAAATCCATTGGTGAGGATCAGAGCTGAAATAATAAAGCTGACCTGAGCCACCTACTTGGGTCAGTGATAAATCTGTAGCAGCCTTTGTTTATTTTTGTTTGTTTTGTCTTTTTGAGACAGGGTCTCGCTATGCAGTTCAGGCTGTCCTTGAGCTGTCCTTGTAGCGCAGGCTGGTCTCAAACTTGCAGTGATACTCCTGCCTCAGCCTCCTGAGTGCTGAGATTATAGGCGTGTGCCACCACGCCCGGTGTCTGTAGGAGTCTTAACTGTGAGTTGTTAGATGGTAGGGCCTTGTACTGAGCACTGTGAGACTGAGGAGGGACACCAAGTGACCAGGTGGAGGCCAGAACCCTTTGAGAATAAGAAATGAGACATTTTCAGCCATCTAGCTCCGAGTTCCTCTGTGTTTTTAAGGGGAGTTTTTCAGCCCCTGAATGACCCACAGCCCACGGCTCTATCTCTGGTTCCAGTCAGGGAGAGAATGAGCTGGTCAAGCTGGGAGTCTTGGTGGGCACTGGTTAACCTGTCTGGCCCCAGAGGTCACCCCTGAACTCCTCTAGCTCCTTTGAACCAGAAGAAGTGGTAACCGAGTCTACTCAGGAGGACGCAGAAAGGGTCAGTCAGCCCTGTACTGCAGGAGAGACAGAAGGTGCATCCCCCCCTTTAAGAAGCCAGTCCACACCGCTGACGGGGCCCAGTACTCGTTCCCCAAGCTGTGATCGGACCCTTCCCCCAGCTGATAGATGATCGCTTGGAGAGAAGTGACTTGTCCATGGCCATATGGCTTGTGTGGAAAGTGGGGCCAAAGTGGGCAGGCAGGGACGTTTTCACACCTGCCCTGTGCATTCTTTGGCAGACCAAAGAGGAGCAGGTGGGAATGGGACCTTTGGTGGCACCTGCGTGGTAAGAACTAGCCCTGCATGGCCAACGCACCCGTCCCAGCCATTCCGTGTTGTGCCAGCCCAGGGTGTTACCCAGTAAGTTGGGCATCAAAACTTAGCCCCACGCCCCATCTCCATAGGGCCTGACACATGTGGTCTAGCCAGGTCCCCCTTGCATGGGGGCCAGGCCCAGGGGGCACCCGGAGGAAGGCCCCCAAGAGGCAGCAGACTGTTAGGGGGACACTGGACAGGGTGGAGGGGATGCAGTCATGACTCAGTGTCTGTCCTCTAGCCAACCAGCGTTCTGCTCTGTGCCCGTTTCTTGCCCTGCAAACCGGGCTTAGGCTGTTCCATTGGTTCTGAGCTTTTTCCCTGATGGAGTTTTTCTCCTGCGGGCCTGCGGTTTGCAAGGTGGCCAGTGCCTGCTGGTTCATTTGCCCACGAGCAGCAGAGCCAGGACAGCTGCGTTCAGCCTGCTGTTTTGGGTGAGTGGGAAGAGCAGGTTTGGGGTAAATATGAAAATTTTTGAGGCCCAATTAGGGCCTCATTACAATTTTTTTCTTTTTTTGGTAGTGGGAATTGAACTCAGGACCTTGCACTTACCAGGCAGGCGCTTGTGCCACTGAGCTATATCCCCAGCCCCCAGCGAGGGCCTTAAATAGCTCAGAGCTGCTAGTCCTGATGAGCGGCTGGCAAGTGGAGAGCGGGCTTATTGCCCACTCTAGCCTGGGTGGGTCCCGCCCCGATTCCCGTTCCTGCGATCTAGGACATTTGGAGCTGACCATTGATCCTGACGGGGTTTAGTCTCATCAGCGCTAAGGAAGGGACAGTCAAAGACAGGTGGGTTCAGCAGACCCCATATCCAGGTGAAGAGTCATCAGGGTCTCAGAGATACCAGAAAATAAAGCCATTTTATTGTTTTTTTTTCTTCTCATCTGCCGTGCCCGCCTGCCTTGGGTGGGCATGAGTGGCTGGCCCCAGCTGCAGGCCTGCGTTATCTACTTGGCCTGGACTGCCTCCTCCAGCCTGTCCAGGCGCTTCTGTAGCTCCTGCACCGTGGCTTGCAGCTTCCTCATCTCCTCCTCCATCCGGGACATGGCATCCTGGGGAACCCAGCACTGCATTAGGCTCAGTCCCTCCTGAGGGCCCAAGAGTCCTGGAGCTGGGACCCTTCTCTCTTGCTTGCTTCCTTGCTTGCTTTTTTTTTGGCTTTTTGAGACAGAGTCTCTCTATGTAGTTCAGCCTGGCCTTGAACTCACTATGTAGCTCAGGCTGGCCTTGAACTTGTGAAAAATCCTCTTGCCTCAGCCTCCAGAGGGCTGAGATTATAGGCATGCACCACCACGCCCGACTGGGGCTTGGACCCTTCTGTCCCTCAGCTGCTGCTCAGAGAGCTGCAGGCCTGTAAGTCTGAAACCTGTTTTCTGAGGAGTCAGGGTCACGCACTGCTGACACTGTGAGTTTGGGTTGCCCCAAATGTCAGCCTCCTTCCAGGGGGGCACTGAGTGCATCCGAACCCGCTCTGCCCTTCACCACTGTCCCATCCTAGTTCCCCAGGTCCCCACCCGTCTCACCGCACTAGGGGTGCCACTAGCTTCTGGTGCTGCCTTTCTGCGTGAGCTGTCCAGGCCCCGGTTGACCCGCAGCTCCCGGCTCTTTGGGGGTACATAGCCGTCCTTGAGGGAGATGAGGTGGGGCCCGGCATCCCGACCACCCAGCCACTCCTCAGCTGTGAGGGCAGGGTCCGGCCCTGCAGTGGGCGGGTACAGGTCCTCCTGGAACAGGTCCGACTGTGGACGAGGCCGAGGTTAGTTAGCTGCGTGGTGATGCCCCACACCACCCTGCGCGCCCCCAGAGTTGCTGCCTGGCCAGCCCAGGCAGGGGCCCGGGCCATCACCTTTCTAGGCACTGTCATGGCGATGGGCTCGCACTTCCGCTCGTGTAGCTTGTAGAATCTGTGGGAACAGGAAGGTGAGCGGCGCCCGCAATGGGTAGGGCAGGGACTGAGTGTCAGCCTGGGGCTCAGGGCCGCCCCAGAAGCACGCTGGGGCCGTCTCGGGGTCAGTCACCTGGCGATCTCACACTTGTTCACCTCCAGGCCGCGTTTGGGCATGTAGCCCATGCCACGCTGGGACTCCTTGGAGCTGAACATGGAGAGGTAGTGCAGGAACGGGGCCTCGGAGGTGATCTCAAAGTAGCGGATAGAGCTGTCACCCTGCAGGTGGTTCATGCAAAGGGATCAGCACAGCAGGGGCCTCTAGCGCTGGTCCTCTGCCAGCCCCTCCTGCCCGCCTCCCTGCCCCCAGCACCCCTTGACTCACCCACCTTGCCACAGAGGTACACAATATTGGTGTCTGGGTCAAAGAAGGGCAGCAGAACTCCGCTGCTTGTGTCCAGCTCCTGTAGAGACAGTGGCTCCTCCAGGTGCTTCTGTGGAGACAGGCAGGAGGCAGCGGTGGGCTGGGCCATGTCAGGTCTAGAGCTGTGACTGGGTGAGGGCCCTCCCACATCGACCAGGGGAAATTCTCATCTCACAGATGGGTAAACTGAGGCTCAGGGCCATGCAGCCAGGCAAGAGGCAGAACAGGGACTCAACCTCCAGCCTGATTCTTTGCCCTGGGCCCTCTGCTTTCTGGCTCAGCACTCACTGTGTCCCACAGCGCCACCTGCCGCTCACTCATGCGGCTGAAGCCTGTGGTCAGGATCTTCCCTTCTGAGACAAACACAGCGTGCACCGGCCGGGTCCCCTCGTGGGGACGGTCCTTCTCCTGCAAGAAGAGAGTGTGGTGTTAGGCAGGCCACCCGCACCCATCCTGAGGGACCAGACCGCAGCTGGGGCAAGGAGAGGACAGCATGCCAGGGTCTGGTAGATGTTGGGTAGGAGCAACAGTGGTGCAGGGGTCAGGGTTCATGGCAACTCACAGCCACAATGGTGCCTTTTCGGGGCTCAAGGATGCGCACACGCTTGTCACGGCAAGAAGTACAGATGAGGCCACCGTCACGGCTCCAGTCCACACTGTAGATGGTGTCTGGGTGCACGTCTGGGCCCAGTGTCAGCACGGCTGCCCCGGTACCCACGTCCCACACCAGGATCACGTTATCACACCCTGCACAACCACCAGCGTCAGGGGCGAGCCAGAGCCCTGAGCCTCCTGTGCTCACTCAGGCCAGCCACCGGCGCCCCCTTCCCCTCTTACAGCACCTGCACTGAGCAGCACGTTCTGGGCTGTGGGGTGCCAGGCCACGATGCCAACACGCTTAGTGTGGCCCTCCAGGGTGACAACGGGCTCCCTCAGAGGCACCACCAGACCCCCGTCGGGGATCTCCCATACCTGCAGGGAACAGTGAGTGAGTCCTCAGGGCCTCAGATCCACCCTGGGGACCCCCAGCCCCTGAGTCCCCCCAGCGCTCACCATGACTGTGCAGTCCTCAGAGCCGCTGGCAATGACGTTGTCATTGTGAGGGCACCAGGCGATGTCCAGCACAGGGGCTGTATGGCCACAGACCATTGGCACATTCTTGTCCACTCGTCCAGTCTAGAGGGCACAGCAGAGCCTTTGACAGAGGGCCTTTGACCCTCCAAACCCAGTCCTGCCGCCCACACGCTTGAGGGAGGGACACAGGAAGGCTCCGGGGCCCCAGGGAGGCGGGCCGGGGCCTCTGGTGGGAAGGGGTTGTTCTCTGGCCCAGGCCCAGGGGGCCTGACCGTGAGTAGCATAGAGTGGGGTGTGCCGTGGTATGGGAGACCCTGCCTGTCTCTGCCTCAGTGTCCCATGTGCTGTGAGGGCCAGCACCCTACCACCACCCTAGTGCCCCAGAGTGAGGCCTCCAGGGGGCCTCACAGGGCCACAGAGGGCCACGGTTCCCAGGGAAGAAGTATGAGCAAGGGGTGCGTGTGTGCAGGGACGTGGCGGGGAGGTCTGTCATAACACCCCAGACAGGAGCAGAGGTTTGGAAATGGCCTCTTCCAGGGCCGCTGCTTACGCAGGGCTTCCTGTGTGCGAGTGTGCGGGGCAAGGGCCCGGCTCCCACCCCAACAACCACTTCCTCTTCTCTCTGCTTCCATCGGCCCTTTTAAGGTAACAACTTCGGGCCTGTCTCCCCTTCCTGTCTCAACCCCCAAAGGGCACAGGAGTGTCGGGGGCAGCTGCTCAGAGGGAGGGGGAGGCCTGCTGCATCATCCCCACCTGCGAGCCGGGGGCCCACCGAGAGCTGGGTCCATGGGAGCTCCGCCTAGTTCCTCAGACAGGCCCAGACCTGGACTCCGTGGCCCTGCGAATTTGCTGGGCCCACCCAGATCCCTTCCCGGGGGAGGAAGCGCCGGGCTGAGACTGGGAGCCCTTGTCCTGTCTGCGGGTTTCTGCGCGTCCCTCACGTTGCCCTCTCTGAGCTCCAGTTCCCATGTAAGCTCTGCACACAGGAGCGGGAGGGCACAGAAGGCAAGCTGGCCCGGCCCAGTTTTACGGTAACTACTGAGGCACGAGGAGGCTTGGTGACAGTCACCTACTTGGGACGCCACAGAGCTACGGGATGGCAGAGGCCTCCTCGGGAGGACAGGCGGCTGTCCTAGGGCTCCAGGGGCTCACCTTGCTCAGGGGCAGCACCAGGAAGGCCCCTCCCCCACTGGCTTCACAGATCAGGGCCACGAACTTGGGGTTGACTGCACAGAAGCCGCTGTCCCAGGTGGTCTGTGAGACACGCACGTCCTCGTAGCACTGATCCGCCTTGGCTGGCTGTCCAAACACATGGCGGAACTTGCTGGAGCGGACCACCTGCCGGCTCATCCTGGGGGCACACAGTTGGTGTTTCGGCCTTCAGCTCGCGTCTGACCTTAGAGGCCTCCTACTGCCAGCACCCGAGTCTGGTGTTGAGGGCCCAGCGTCATGTCTGGGGTGCCCGTCCCGTACCCTCCCCCGTGCTCATTCTTCCCAGACCCCCCTCATTTCTGTGTCACCTACCTCAGGCCACTCTGAGCCATTTGCTCACTCCTGCACCCTGGGCCCCCAGAACTGAACCTGGGTACAGCACCTAGGATGTGCTTGTTGACTTACTGGCTGTTAGAGGCAAGCCTTTCCTTTCAGTGCTTCACACACAGGGCCGGCCGTGGGCAGAGGCCCGAGGGTGGATCCTCACCTACTGACACTGTCCAGAGCCCGCATCCCTCACCCACGCAGGGAGACTCCTACGGCCAGGGCAGGGCTGGCTCTCCCCGCTCTTTGTCCCCGGCCTGGTGGCGAGTGAGCCTGCCAGGCAGGGAATGAGGTGGCAGGATGGCTTCCCCAGTAGGTCTCTGGGCACCAGAAGCAGCGATGGCTCAGGTCCCAGTATTTCCTCCCCACCCCTCTGCCTCTCGCCTCTGCTCAGAAAAAGCAGGTGCCCTTCATAGCGCCATCTCCACCCCCACTGTAACTGCACACAGGAAGGCAGAAGCCCACGCGACTTCCCAGGTCCAGCTGGGAGCCTTTCCCCCCCCAGCGCTGAGCAGGGCGCACGCAGAGCCGAGGGGTCGCCTGTGCTCCCAGCGCGCATCTGGGTGCCCAGCTGCACGCCTTCCTGCCCAGGAAGGGGCCCGGGCCGCCACGTGAGGGCACCTTCTCTGCCCAAAGCCCCCCCGCCGCCCGGCCTCACCCAGCGCTCAGCACCCAGGCCTAGCCCCTTCCTGGGTGCTCCAGCCCTCCCGGGCCGCCCCGGACCCCCGGGGGCTCCCAGCCCAGAAGCAGGTGACGAGCCCCGGTGAAAAGCCCTGGGCTCCAAGAAAGCCGTCAGTCCCAGGTGGGCAGGGAAAGGGACCGCTGAGCCAAGGGTGGGGGCACAGGAAGCCGCCGCCCCACCCGCCGCCTCCCCCACCCAGGTACCAGCCCGGAAACCGCGGAAAGGGGAACTTGGTCTTTTCTTGTTTTGCTCGCAGCCCCTTCCTGTGTCCAAGCTTAGGGCAGCCGCTCCGCTGTCCCCACCCGGGCCCGGCCGCCCCCGGCCACTCGGGGGAACCTGCGCCCGCGCGTGCCCCCCTCCATCTTGGGCGCCGCGGTCCTCGCCCGCA